TGTGAGATAAGGGTCAGCTCATAATAAAAGAACCACCCGAACACCTATGTGCTTTGATGTAATTGATGATGAGATTTCGAAGAGTCCAATTATCCATCCCACATGGATCGGCATCTTCAAAAATCCGGTCCGTTAATGTATTTTTATAATTTTCATTTTATTTTCCAATCAGGACTGTTTTCAAGCTCGTAAATAATGGAAAGTTAATATTTGATGATTTTTCCATCTATTTACTCAACAAAAATTTCATTAAAGATAAAAACAAGATATAACATTACGTTTTGTAGACGTTTCATCTCCTCGACGTATAAAAATCAACTCACATGCGACATACGAAGTCGGAGAGTCGCGGCTCTTGGTTAAATTTAAGAAATCCATGACGCACACCACACACCAACACCTGCCGGCAGCAAATCTTTGACTGGTCGTGGAAGAACCAAAAGCCGTCGGTGTACGCGAAGCCGAGATCGTTCCGCGGCGTTATGTCACGCGGAATAATTAGTTGAATAACTTGGGCGATTCCGAGATCGACTTTCTTTTTAGACAAACAATTCCATAGCGTCGATTAAATAACGCTCGCCCGTCCGGGAATGTTGTTTTCGAGAAAATACGCGAAAAACCGACCAAATACGCCGGTGATGGTTATAACAAAGTTTAAAGGATAATGGCGCGTGATTAATGGTGGATGGTATAAATTTACACAGAATCGAAAAGAGTTGCGCGTGAAGCACATCATTAGCCAAAAAGTGGTACGCCAAATTTCACGCAACCAGGAGATTTCATACGTTTCGCAGATTTCACAATGATGGGCTTTTTTGATTATAATTACGACGAAATTGAAATGAAAATGATAATTTTATAAATGGATTAATTTTAGGCTTCACACGTGGGCGTGTCTAGGTCAAATAGATATTCTACTATTGTACCAAGACTCAGACACGCTAATTTTGAACTTTCTTTTTTAATTTAATCTTAATTTAATTTCCGAAATAGTTACGTTCATTCAGTATACCGTTGTTTTATAAGACTATAAACATGAACTACGAACTAAAACTGTACAATCTTTTAAAAAGTAGCAGAGTATCAATGTTAAATTAATTAATTAATCAATAGATAAACTAATAAGTAAATTAGGTATAAACATTTTTTAAATTATTTTTTCAACATTCTGGATGTCACTTCTTTTTTCACATTTAGAAATATTGAATTATATATCTTTACAACTCTACTTACGTTGTTTTTTTTATAAGTGCAAGTTCAAGACATTAAAGACAATAAAGTTTGTTTAACTGGTTATGGTGCCACCAAATGAGCCTTACACGCAATCTAGAAATAACTTAAAAATAGTTATTTAATATTTATATATTGCCATTTATTATATTTTGACAATTAAAAAAAAAGAATTGGCCCACACACAAACACATACGTATACAAAACATAACAATACAATTAGATATATGATAAATACTAAAACAGACTGAGCTTAAGGCCAAAAAAGCCCTAAAAATCTTTAATCGTGTAGAGAGTACGATATAACAACGACCATTTCAAACTTTCTTTAAACTGGCACAAAGATGTGGAGGCGGTGTGGCAAGTATCAGTATTAAATTAATATGTATAAAAATGATATTTTTAAAATTATTTTTTCTTAATTTTTTTCTATTCGACTTCAACTACGCAATTTTCTTCATAGAAAAGACCATGCTTAACATATTTAGTTAGAAATTTCGATAATTATTAATGTAGGTCGATCAAAAACAACTACATTTAAAGTCAATCATAAAAAAAAACAGCGAATTTTTGTTCAAACGAAATCCACTTATCTCACGTTACTGCTTATATCATAACCTTAAAAATGCCAAGTGAATTCCGAACTCAACAAACCAACGGTAAATTTCGCGGAATGACTTTCGATCCGTGAATGGGTGAATAGTCTAAAAAAACACATAAAAAGTCTCTTTATGTCTCTTTATATCACTAAAAAAAATTAAAATGAAGTCAGTAAATTTTGTTTTTTTTTGGCGTATCTTCGGAAGTGCCATTTTTTTCTAATTTAAGCATTTTCGTATCCCTTAATTAAAGTTTAAACGGTTATTTAATCACAAAGTGGTTTTCTTAACAATTAATTTGTTAAATATCTAAAAACGATCATAAACTTGGTGGAGATTGGCTCCGACAAGAAGCCACTTCTTTCCACGCGAATTTTTTTCTATACGTCTTTAAACCGTGTGTGAGAATGGTAAATATTGATTTAAAAACAAGACATTTATTTGAACATTTTAATTTTAAATGAACACTGCACTGTAGCGCCAACGCAAGTGAAAGATTCTAGCAGCTGCACCCACCCGAATGTGGTCGAATTAATTATAAATAATAAATTATTCACAAAATAATTGCATAAAAATGCAATTTTATATTGCTAGAATTCCAAACATCTAGTAGGCGAATGATATAGCAGTTTGTGACAGAGCGACAATAATTTTTGGCCTTTTAGCAAATATTCTTTTTAATAGGGATGAAAACAACTCTTGTATCGCCCATATAAGGATTATTAATTATTTGCGTTTTAATTGTAAGCGTAAATGTTAGAAAGTTCTAAACTGTGTATCGTAATTTTTTCTATTTAGTAATATACATTTTAATGATGTACAAAACTATTCTAGTTATAGGAAATAAAATAAAAAATTGTGAAAATTTGGGCTACGAATTTAAATCCATTTTTGAAAATGCCTAAATAAATTTTATGAAGTTATTCTATTTGCTCATTTTGCCATAAAATTTAACAATTTAAGTTAAGTATATCAATTATATATAGACTTTACATATTTATTTGATGATGATTTGATTTAATGATACTTAATGTTTATAATTATTATTAATAACACAAAATTTAAAATTGATACTGTATTTTATGTAAGGTTCCACAATTACATTTTGTGGGAGTTATTTTTAATTTTCGCTGCATAACAGATGTAAAATATTTTTTTTTGTGGCGCTCAACCATAATGCAAATGAAAATTTGCATTTTGTATCAGCATTTTGTTGCAAAAGTATTTTTGTCATGCATATGCGAAATCCAGTCCGCAGTGTGCTCCGTTCATATATTAAATGATCTATTAAGTATACAAGTACCTATATTTACTGACAAATAATTCAATTTGGTACTTCATAAAATGATGTAGCTATTCACCTCGAAAATAGGACTTACTCAAGAAAATTGAAAAACAATACAGATTTATTGATACTTGAAACAAGCACTTAAAAAAATTACTAATATATTTCTTGGTATATTTCAAATTGATAATGTCAAGGGGTTATTTATCTCGATTAAATACAGAACCAGTTCAGTCCCAGTTCAAATGCATTGAATCCAATTCTAATTGTTGTTTCACTCAAAAGATCAATAATACTAATTTGAGATTAAGTGGGATTTATTAATAAATTTAACACACCTGGTATTATTATTGTAAGCATAATTACAACTTGACTGTAGAGTGATGGAAAAAAAATATGGCAACTTTTTAATAACATGAGCATATATCTTTCTGAAAATTATGGCACCGTTCACCTAATTACTCGCCTAACTATAATATTTTTAAAAAGGGATTCGGTCATTTTACAACAAATTATTTTCATTCAGATTAATATTGTTAATTAATTATTTTTTTAAAGGAACTACCACAGGCTACTCCAATACTATTTACAAATCTTCTGGATTCCTCCAGCGCCGGTTGTTGTTGGGTCGGACTTGCTGACGTTTCGCCAATTCTCATGTTAGCTTGTTCAGAGCTTAAGTGACCAACACGACCAACCAATCAAAACAATTTCAGTTAAGCTCTGAACAAGCTAACATGATAATATAATAATAATCCAGAAGAATTTGGTATGAGATTCGTATTATCAGAAAGACTGGGCATATTTCCACCGTAGAATCACAACCGAATAGTATGGAATACAAATTATAAAAAGTTTTTCTATTTCCAACCACAAATCCCTTATCACGAAAAAGCATTCAAACATTTATACACACGTATATTAGTGGCGTCTCTTAATGTATTTTAATTAAAAAAAACCCTAGATCGTTAAAATGGGACAAAGTTTACTTGTGCTTGCGTTGCTTAAAATTAAACGAAATAGTACTTCATTTTCATCATCTTTTTTTATATAACTATGTAAGGTACAATTACTATAATTTCACGGTCGTTATTTTATAGTACCTACATTATAACCTAAGTTTATGGCAACGTTTATTGGCCTTTATAATATTGAATATTGTAATAACAGCTGCCAGGAATTCTCCAAATACAAACGGACTTTTAATCGTCATTTATATTTGGTTAGTTTTTTTGGGTCACAGTTTTTTTCACTTTGAAATGGGATGCAGAACTTATTTTAAAAAGAAAATGCATCGAAAATCATTTATTATTACCAAATTATTACTAAAATTCATGGGTACATAGAAGTGCATACTTCTTTACATACAAACTTTTACATCAATATTGTATAATATCAAGGTAAATAATAATAATACAATCTACTATCAGATAAGGTGCAAATATTAAACCGCATTAGGCCTAATTAATACCTATTATACTGTTTATTTTACCGAAAGGCAAGCGTCAAGTCTCGACACCGAAAAAATTTCGTAATGAATCAATAGGGATGGTCACAATTGAGGTTATGTCGCTCATTACGTGGGTACGGTAAAAAATAATTAATCGTAACTGTTCGTCCGATTTAACTGTGTTCGATTTAGTAAGAAGTGTTGCAGATGGGTAAAAAATCGATAGGGCACAGTTCTATCCTTTCTTATTCCCCATTTTCAAATCGTACATAAACTATTATATGACAAAATGCCGAATTGATATGAAGGTTAACTTTAATAGTACATTTAATGTATAGTGCCTATTAAAAATTAAGAAAAAATATTAGGTAGTTTATAGGTAAGTACTTGTTTATTACAAAAGTCGTCTAAATTACCCTAAATGCAACGAACTTACCTTTATTGAAGGTATTAAAATAACCAAAATTTAAACTCTCGCCGAAAACGATTGATATCACAGGTGGGTCGACTAACACAAACAATCCAAATTAGTTCACGTAATAAAGTATTTTTACCGGTAACATTAAAATAAAGTTCTCGCCCTAAAATATCGATCCGAACGTTATTATCACTGAAATGAACACATTGTTAATTTTTCCGACTTAATTAATAGAGGCGTGTCTGGGTCACAGTTACGTACGATGACTGAAATACAAACATTCGAAACTAACGCTCGTTCAACCGCACATCGCCTATTTTATGCCGCTTCCCAAAGCCGCTATCGGATTCACGTCTGCCTGACTCCGATGGGAAACAGTTATTTTATTTTTCGTCGGAAAGAGCCGAGAATATCCGACGATCCGACGAAGTTTCGTCTCATGCCTGCCACCGCCAAAACGCCGACAAACGAAAGGAGTAGGAACATGAAAACGGGGAAAATTGTTCAGGAATACGGACTAAAAATTCCGCGGGTTAATAGGTGATCCGTGAAATGTCGCTCCGGCTCCCTGCGTTGTGGAAATTACGCTCATTTCGGTGCGGTTTTGAGGAACTTGATAAAATTTTCGGGATTACTACATATAGGATTTTTACAGTTGGCTAGGGTTTATTTTTACATTAAAATTTAATTAGTGTCGGAAGTTAACCAATACTAATTAAATCGTAAATTTTACCTATCGTTGGCCAATCGATTTACAAATTTGTAATTGCGGTTTGTACAACGTACTGAATTTTACGCGCCCAATGCAAACAACTTTTTATTGTGATTATAACAGCATAAACATAAAATGAAAATTTCTTCCTTACTGGAAATTTAAGAAAATCCAATTCGGTTAAAATTTTCTCTCTTTTTTGGAAGCAGTTGTATTTTTTATATGAAAGGAGCTTGAATATTTGTAAATGCTTGATGATTAACCAAAATCGGAAATTGTTCAAAGAGGCTACACAGGATGGCAATTGTAGCATGGCGTAACGAAAATTGAATAAATTTGAGCATTAATAATTGAGTGCAACGTATAACATTACTACATTACAGGTATCACAAAATATAGAGAAAGAAATAACAAAAAAAAAAAGAAGTCATTACAGATAAAGACAGGACGCAACAGGACAAAAGGCGCAACAGGAAACTGCGAGCCGTCATTTAGAGCAGATCCAAAGGATGGCATGCTCAACTATAAAAATCACACTAAGCATAGCTCTGGAGGTAGTGCAATGCATGTAATGTGATATATACATTAAAGAAGTGGTTTTAATGACAATGGTGCATTTTCGCGACGGTTGTGTTATATTCAGTACAGAGAATGCCTTCCCACTATTGGGAGAGATGACGGATTCCATCGGATTCCTACACAACAAACACCATGACGAATATGCAGATTAACCATGCAGGCGGAATTAATGTCCACTCCGGTGGTTCAAACTTAATATAATGGTGGCAGTGTAGTGCAGACGGAATTCGCTGCTATTACTGTAGCCGCACATGAAATCACCAGGCGCAAAGTTACTGGTTAAAATTTTTGCATCAATAGATAGCAGAAAAGCAGTTTTGGTACACCATAGAGCAAGTTTTACCTCAGAATTGGCACTAGAATGTCACCGTGCCCTCATTGTTACGTAAATAAATACGTTCCAGAGAATATCATGCCTCTGGCTCCCTGACCAGGAGAGCTGCCGGACTAAACTTTATATCACTGAAACCTTCTGGCGACGTCAGTCATTAACGAGCTGATAACTGAAAACTGCCTGAAACAATTTCTTAAACAATGGGATGAAAAAGAGAAGTGTTAGCGAGCTAGGGTGCGAGTAAGCTATCTAAACCAAACAAACACAGCAGCCAAACAATACCTGACTATGTCCAGGGAAAAAGCTACACATGGCCACGGGTACTCGGTCATTGCTGACCCAACAAACAGCAATTTAGATTGAGTTGGATCCCCCTCTGCAGGGTGTGTGAATAGGAAGACGAGACAGTAGAACACTTTCTGTGTGAGTGTCCTAAACTCTCCTTTAGGCCAGAAGCTGCGCTTGGCAAATCATATATATGTTCAGCGGTAATCAGTCATCACCTCTATTTAACTATGTTAAAGTCCACAGAGAAATACAGAAGAAAATTAAAGAAGTAGGCAAAAAAATAGAAGAGTACTGTACAGAAATAGAACAATTTCAGACAGTTTCAATGTTGTTGTTGTTTCAATGTTGACAAAAAAGTAAAAGAATCTGTTGCAATTTATAGACAGAAAACAACAAATACGGTAGTATTACATAATCAGGGTAACATCGAAGTAGTTAAAGCAGAGATCGCACATGTGTGGAGAAATTTTATAGAAGAACTGTTTCGCTATGCAAGACCAAGTCCTCCTTGAACTGCCAATGAATCAGAGCGATTACCGTGGACGAAGTTCGACTAGCAATTAGGCAAACGAAAGACGAAAAGGCGCAACTTTCCAACCACAAATGCGGCGAATATAGGATGAGCCATTTAATAAAATTATTCAGTAAGATCATTCATAACATACATAACGGAAGCACAGTTTGGATTTCAGGACTCCATGGCAATTAGAGAGGCCCAGGCCCTATTCAGTATTCAAGTCATGATCCAAAGATGTTTTGTCGATTATTTTAAGGCGTTTGATAGGGTTCAACGTCATAAACTAATAAAGATCATATCTGAGTTGGCATTAGAGCATAGATATTTAGAAAGAATTTCACAAATATTATATTGGGGACAAACAGCATATCTAAACTTCGATGGAAATAGATCCGAAAAAGTAACAATAACGAGTGGAGTTAAACTGGGATGCATACAATCACCTATGTTGCTCAATATATGCTATGCATATTTATTTATGAAGGCACTTGAAAATCAAAATGCAGGAATACTTAAGAATAATATTAAGTACACTGATGTTACCATTATTATTACCAGCAGATTTGGAAGAACTAGAGTTATTTACGAACTGGATAACTGAAGTCAGCATCGAATATGGCTAATTTAAACTGAAATAAATAAAACTAAATGTATGGTGATTTGCCCATACCAGATGGCCAGCTTCAACGACGCATAGAAGAAGTTAGTTATTTTACTTATCTGGGCCACAAGTTAATGCTCAAGGAAACTGGATGGCGTATTGTGCCGTCCATGCAAAAATAATTTTTCTTCGCTGCTATATGTCTTCTGTTCAACTTTATGGTATGGAACCTGGGACTTTGACAGAAGTAACTGCAAATTGCTCTGCCGCAGGTTTCTCTTTGGTAGTCCACGTGACATATGAAGAAGTGCTTAGTAGAATCCAATAAAAAAAAGGGAAATAATTAATACAATGAAAATAAGGAAGTTCGAATACCTAAGTCAAATAACGCGGAATAAAAAAAGATACAGATTACCGTAAGACGTGTTACCGACAAAGTTGTTATAGCCAGAATGATTATAAACATCCGGAAAGCATAGGCAATGTATAGGCACTGTAAGAAGAGACAGGTATATAAAATTGACGAAAATTTAAGTTGATGCTTATTTAATACAAAAAAAATATACATACAAATTTACAATAGCATGCGGTTTTTTTTTACAATAAGTCAAAATTTCATCTTTTTTTTTGGCCATCTGTACTTAATTTGTTTTATATTCAAGCTCCATTAAGGTTCAATATTTCCAAGTGCTTGATCATTAACCGGAACTGGAAGTTATTATACAGGTTAAGGCAAAGCAAAGGCACATTGAGCAAATTAAAAAAATAATATGTTGGTAGTTTTAATATATTATAATCTAATTCTCCCTATTTGTTTTAAACGGAATGCCCTGTATATGTTAGAATAATAAAAGAACAACATGGCGATTATTATAAGATCATAAGAAGTTTAGTGAAAAGTATTATATATGTAGATACAGTTATGTTAAGTACTGTATATATTTTTAGATTTTTTTTAATCCTGTTAAAATAAAATTAAATCAAAAACTGGAAAATTCAGCTCTTTCCGCCATGTTTATGGAATATTATCACGCTCATTAATGCGCCCTAATTTGAGCTACCCTGTTTGTTGATTTGCTATAGTATATTTCTAACATTGATGAATGAAAGGTCATAAACATTGGAAAATTTGACAATTACAAAGATATGAAAGACAAGAGAAAAAATAGATAGTTTTAATGTATATATAAAAAAAAACATTAAACTTTTGCATTTACATTAATGGTACCACAGCAACAACAAACACTTTTAATCTCGCTTTCAATTAAATGACAAGTCACTGCACAAATGGTTACCGATATGAAGTTACCAGCTAACAGTTGGCAGCCCATTACGGGGACAGAGGTTTTTAAAAGCTCTTTACGACGTAATGGATTCAGACTCAATAGAGTTTTGAACTTTGAATCGTGATTCAAGATGCGACAATACAAAGTAGGCTACCATATTATTCACGTATATTTTACTGCTTTTACTGTATAAAGGAATTTTTTTACGTTAATTTACACACTTGATAAAGTTTGTGTACGCACACAGGCTAACTTTCGTTACAAGCAAAAATATTCGCTTGCTCTACTGTACTTCAGAAATAGGTTTATAATATGGCGGTTTGTATTGTCTTTACAACCCAGGTTTATAGATGTTTTATAAAACTTTAAAAATAATCTGAAATTATGTCTATATTAAAAAGTAGAATTAGCCACATGCGGTTTGAAGGTTTCACTTGCAAATTTGATTTACTTTCTGTTTCGGTTTAAATTAAGGTTTGAAATTTCGGAGAAGCGCTAAACATACTATAAATGTATGAATTTCCGCCCACAAGCTAGAGCAGTAAAAACCAGTTTGTCACAAGGTATGTTTTTTCTGAATAAGCAGGGTTTGTTTTGTCTTCTTTAAACGAGACCAAATTTGCATGATTTAATTTAATAATAATTTAATGGTGGGCTATAGCTATTGTTTTTGACAACAAACACAAACAAATGTCAAATTTTCTCAGCGATTTTTCATTAAATTAAAGCAATTTATTTTGAGTTCTTTTGATATTCTCGTTTTTGATTTTAATTATAAAAGAAATTGATGAGTAATTTCTTTTATTGATTAAAATTATGAAAAATATGGTATGGTTTATACAAACTTACAAAGTAATGAAAATTTTTTGTTTTTGTTTATTAGAAACAAAGGGCGGAGGCAACCGTTTTTTGAGATTTTTGCTCGTTTAAAAGCAAATTTAGTTAAGCAGGGATCATTTGGTCACCAATTATTCTTTTTAACGCTATTCAAAGCATTATGAGAATGTACCAATTTCATAATAAAGAAAATGGTC